TATTATATTTTTGAATCAACTCTGGTGGTCTATACCACATTGTAACTACTTCTACTGTATATCTCTTTATTGGAACACCAATAGATCGTGCTAATCCAAAATCTGCTAATTTAACTACATCTCCACTTAATAATACATTTGACGGTTTAATGTCTCGATGAAGAATTCGATGTGAATGCATAAATGCTAATGCATCTAACATTTGATATGAAGCGTGTCGAATAAAATTAATAGAAAGATCTTGGGGATTGTTTTTAAGAAATTTATGAAGATCAGTATTACAGTATTCAAATATAAGATATAAATGTTTCTCTGAATTATAAACATCTAATAATCTACATCAATAATTAGTTAAATACTTTTTTCTTTTTTTTTTATTTTAATTTAATAACAAACTTAACAATATTAGGATGTGAAATATCTCTTAAGACTGTTGTGAAGTTATATTTTTCATTTAGTTTTATGTTTTAAATTAATTTTTATTTTATTTGTATTGTTGTAAGTCTTTTAGATATAAGTATGATGTGATAGAGAACGAATCACCAAAGCCTTAAAATCTTATTCATATTGATTGTATTTAAAAGAGTGCTAATCATATAAAATCAATAAACAAATAATAAGATTTTGTTATTCAATTTTTAGTTTCGATTTTTTATTTAATTATTTTTTATTGTAATTAGAATTACAAATGAACTTCATTTGATATTTAATTGAAATTCATTAACAGGATATTTATCTTTTTTTTCTTAAAACCTATAAGAATATTCTCCCGTTATTATTGTGATGACCTTCCACTTAAAATATTGATTTCTACTTGAATTAACTTGAAGATTCAATAGAAGAAAAAAGACTGATACATACAATTAATATTAAATTACATTTGGAAATTAAACAACCAATAATTTATATTGGTTATTAATTTGTGATAAGGTTTGGAGAAAGCATTTGAACCCAATATTGAAGTGTTGAAGGTGTTAAGTCTTGATATTGTTCTGGAAATTCTTCAATTAAGGTCCTAACTGTTTTTGTTAAACCTAATTCATAAAACTTTTTAACTGCATTTAATTTGATTGCTTGGTTCCATCTTTTCTTCTTTTGAACTCTTTTTCTAGGACTTTTTCCATCAACAACCTCAAATGTTGATGGTTCAGCTGGTCGAAAGACAGATAATTTCGAGTTTTTCATAAATGACTATTATATATGAAACTTTAGTTCTGAAGAGATGATTTAAAAGAGAAAAGACTAATAGTAAAAAGATAATAATTAAAATCATTCAATAAATAAACCTATTTCTTTTTCGTCTTATTCAAAGAGCCCATTCATGAATTTTTCTAGAATTATTTATTTCTAAAAAATTTGAATTTCAATTGAAATTTAATTGAAACTCAACTTATTAATTAATTAATAGAATAATTTTCTATTTTTATTATAATATTTTCTATTTACTCTCTAACATTCTTGTTACTGTCTTCGATCACATCTATAATCACTTCATCAAAGAAGTAGCAGATAAGTAGTTTTTATTTGTTTTTATAATATTTTTAATTGATTTAAATATATTTTTATGAAATTATCACAACCAATTTAATCAAAAACAGAAAACTTCTTCAACCCTCAGAAATATAAATATAATGAAGATGAATTAAGTTAATTTTTCACTAAAAATTAATGAGGTTATAAACATTGTTATTGAAATTACTTTAAAAACCTAAATCATGATTAGTGTCATAAAAAAATTTATTTATTTATTATTAAAATTTATATTATTTCTTCAAATTGTTTGGTTCACTGTATATACAGTCACATTTAGTAGTTAGTATAAATTGTTTATAATATGTATTATATTTCAATTAAATATGTCATAGTATAAATGTATTTAATAATTACAATGTATTATAATACAATAAATTATATTTGAATATAAACACAATGTATATAATTCTTAAATAGTAATCATATTAATACGAAGATCTTTTTAATCATTCGTAAGCATTTTATTTAAATAACAATT